GCACGTAGTCGGGGGGTAGGGGGGGGGGGGGAGGAAGGAAGGAGGAGCACAAGAAACATGGGAATTTGGGGGGAAGGGGGTAAGAAAAGTAGCATAAAAAATTATTTTTTTAAAATATATTTTCTATTCTCTAAACAAATACTAGAAAATATTTTCCGTAAAATATTTTTCACTCACCAACCATACATGAAAAAATAAGTGATAAAACCACTCATTTTCTAGGAAATTATTTTTCATGAAACCATTTACCTTGGTACCAAACACACCTGTATTACGTGCTGCAGTTGAAGATTATGCTAAACCGTGTGGACCAAATCGAATTTGAGATTTAAGACACTATTTAAATAATAATTAGGTTACGTGAGAACAACTATTAGTTTGACATTTGAGATACTAAACAATTGAGGTTGTTTCTTGGATGATCACTCAATTTCTCAAATAACCAACCAAAGTCACTTTTTTTTTTGGATAATAAAGTGATCCAATTATTATTTTTTGATTTAGAAAATAAAATTTAACATACTATGTTATGTTAAAAATTTATTTTTCAATGATAAAATCCATTTAACTCATGTTTTTTATACCAATTTAAATCGTCCTATTAAAAAAGGATCTACTATCAAATAAATGAAAACCCATTATAACTTCCATTTCATTGTCTACGTTAAAAGACGGTTATTAATATTAGTGTTAAGTTATCGTTGCCTTATTGTTCTTGGCACGGCAAAAGGTTGACTAAAAATACAATATAGGTAAGCTCATTCGTTTCGGCATTTTATAATATAATTATTTATAAGAATGAGAAAGGGAGTTCACCAATCTAATTAAAAACAATGATGCTACAACAATTGTAAAGGAAAATAAGGGTGGAAAAGAATTGTGCCAATCTCATTTCTCCTCTTTGAATCGGTTACTCATTTTGAATAAATAAACTAACAAAAGAAGACTCGAATGAAGTTTTCTTGTTGACCAAAAAAATTAAAGAATGAAGTTTTCTTCTTTTCCACCCTTACTTTGTTTTTCAATTTGGTGTAGCATTATTTCCAATTTAAGGGACTCGAATGATGATCACACCCAACTATGCCTTATAAAAAGGATAAAGTGGTCGTTGCAAATATATTCCGGTTAACATTTTCAAAGCCGAATCCCACAGGGAATTAACCTATTAAACACATCTATTGGACTCACACAAATTCACGTATTCAATCTTTAGAAATATTTAAGTAATAAATTGGATGTTTACTAACTAGATATTACGTAATAAAAATGCAATAAATAAGAACTAACTACAAACGGTTTGTAGACAAGAATTGGTATGATCTAAGGTTCTGATTTCCCCTATTGTCGGAATATTTTTCGCTACGTTTTCTATAAATTTGCCTAAGTCGTCTCTATCGATCATGAGCACTCTGACTGTCGTAGCTCTCTCCCGAGTAATTACAACAATATACTAGACATATTCTCCCGAATTATGCTAGCTGGCCTTAAGTACAACTCACTCAGATCGCACCAAGGTTTCGTTATCCCTAATTCCACCTTTAAGCCCTCCGTATTGTTCCCTCATATACGTTAGGAGTGATGTAGTTCGACAACTACCTAAATATGCACTCTCTCCCGAGTAATACATACTAAATAGGCACAGTCGATTGAGGGCCCTTCAATCAACAACAATAATATTATAGTTGAACAAATAGAGAGAATACTATGGCAAATCTATATTAACGCAATAAGAAAATCATCCTCCAATAGGTTCCATCTAAACCCTAGATTAGGAGTTTAGCTATGCATAAATTTTTTCACAATCACAACAATAGAATTCATCATCAATGATAAAAAACTAAAGGAAGAAAGATAAAAACTCGTTGTCGAATCTTCCGTCTTGCTTCTTGCCTGTTCTTGCCTTCAAAATACTTCCAAAAACCAAGATACCCTCTTTTTGGGCGAACTAGGCTTCATATAGGTCAAGGAGAGTCGCCTCTGGAATTACAAATTTAGCCCTGAAATAATTTTCCTCGGAGAGACGTGCGCGTCCGCACACCTGAGAGGGTGACCGCGCATCTGGCTGTGCACTTTGTCAAATTTTTTCCTGACTTACGCGACCCAGTGCGTGGTCAGTGCGCGGCCGCGCACCTGGGCCATTTTCTGCACTCTTCTTCATTCTTCTTTTTAAATGCGCTAACCTCTTTCGATCCTCTAACGTACTCCCAATTTACTCCATAACTTTTACTTAGCCTTCAACGCTCCATATTAGCTCAAAATGCTCCTTAACCTTATTGTAGCCCGGAATTGCTCCTGCAAAGCATAAAATACTCAATCGGAGCAATTTTTCTACCATTAAACGCTCAAACATTTGTAAAGTGCAGCCAATTTAAAGTGCAACTAGTTGCCAAAATACATTGTTATAGCCTACTATCAAAACCCCACACTTAAACCATTGCTCGTCCTCGAGCAATCAAACCACACCTTACATAGACACTACTTCACTAAGCGACTTTCCTAACTCATCACACCAAGTATATTTCATATAGTTTAAGTACACTAGTGTAACATCTTCACCTCAAGAGATGACTCACAAGCACCACGCATTATTCACAACTTGCTCACTAACTCTACACAAAGGTCCAGAATCACCTTTCTTTCATGAATCAAGTGCCCTCATCCAACAAAAGAGAGTAGTTCCACACACAATACAATTAAAGAACAATAAGGAACTCAAGATAGAAAGAATTTACTCACTCTCAGAAATGACATTCATGTGCCACAAAAGATGCACCATAGGCTTGCCCGTAGTGTACTACTCTACTAATTGAATTCGTTCAGTCAAGGATCAAGTAGGACTTTTAACTGGTTGTAATGTAGGTTGCGGGATGGGTAGGATACATTTAGACATAAGAGTGACTACACCTCCCTAAGCACTTTAATACGTACACCTTAACATTTAAAACCCCACTTATATCAAACCAAAACTCCACCTTCACATCAATGTATATTACCCCATACTTCTTTAAGCACAATTACATCAAGAACCACCACTTATCAAGGAATATTTTTCGTAGCAATACAACTATTTTTTTCTTTCTTTTCTTATTCAAGTGGCTCTTACTTTTTTAAAATAGTGCACCTTTCTCCTTATCTCATTAGTTCCACTCACCAACACTTTGACTTTTACAAAGTTCATAACAATTCAAGTGCTCATAAGAGGTTAAAAGCTTCAAATAGATAGTTAATTCAAACCAATGGGTAAGGCTTGTAATGTGGTTGCCAAAGAAATAGGATTACAGGCTCAAATGGGTTAACTACGATACATAACAATTAGGTGGGTAAAATATACATATCTGGCTCAGCAAAGAAATGCCTATATCACTTCCAAGACTGAACAAAACTACTATTTCGCTTTTCAAACAAACGGGGCAAGTTCTAGGTATAAAATGTAATGCACAGACTAAAACAAAACTCACACGCACATGGCACATGACTCACTCAAGATTGGATCATCAACAACACTCTATTCAAAGCACTTAAGCCAAGTTAAGAACATAAAATTTAAGGTACTTATATAAAAGTAACCAACTGAGCCTAAGCATCACACTGAAGCACTTGCTATTCTCAAGGCACAATGAAGTTAATAGACCTTGTTTTCATTTCCTCTCATAGCCCAAGGGTTCCTACTTCTAAAAAATAAAACTAACTTTTCCCGGTTCAAACAAAACCTTTGGAAAAGAACTGCGGCCCAAAGAAAACCCAAGGGGGAATTGCTACACTATGTAATAACAACAAATCTTTTTGTCTTTTTCCTTTCGACTTTAATCCCTCAAGAAACCTGTCGAATGATATCCATCGTCGGGAAAAGTCAAACTTATGTTTTTTTTTAATTTTATATTACTCAAACTTACCAAAGAAACTGAAACAAATCTACATTACTATATATATACAATATAAATAAAACATATCCCCCACCCACACTTTAAATGGTGGCAAGTCCCCGTGTCACAGAAAGAAGAATGTAAGGTAAAGGAAACTTCCTGGTAGAGTCAGTCCTGGTCAGAGACAATGCCGGGATCGAGATAGCAGGCTCTGCCAAGTTCACGCAGCCAAGCCATGACTTTCCTTTCAGATTGGCACTTTGGGTAGCAAGGGCATCCACTCGAGTGCCAAAGTCCGTTACAGAAGTATGCAGCCCTGCCATTTCCTGCTTTAAGGCCGTCATTTGCGTGTCCCATCTGACCACTGAGGTACCCTGAACAACCTGCTCATGCGGAGGTGAAGCAGCCACAGGCTTAGCTTGCCC